AACTCTAAAAGAAACATTCACTAAATATGCTCTATGCTTTCTACTTGTAAATGCATTGCTTATAAAATATTGCTCATTTTAGTTGCTAATCTCTAGTGATTCATGCTTGTCCTTCGTAGGAGTTCCTGTGTAGATCAGATATTCTAAGTGCTAAAAGGGAGCAGCTACATTCTGTTCTCATCAACAAGCTAACTTAGTATAGGTGGCTAAGTCTCAGACTGTAGCATTTCAGAGTGAGAGAAGTTCATCAGAGAAGAGCCCAGCTAGAACCATTTGTGCTTATCACACATCAAAATCTGTACATACTTTTATGGTTGGTTAACCTAATACCTATTGTTTTAGTACACGAACTATATCAGATCAGCATGTTGACCCGTGAATGGTGAGTGATTACTTAGAGATACCTTATATGTCATAAGAAAATGCTTAAAATTTGCCTCTCTTAAGGAAAGTTAGTGTAATTTGGACTTATTATTAACTTACATTAATTAATCAGGAATTTAAAACATATTTTGTTACAAAAATCACAAGCATTTAGGCCAGGCATGGTGGCTCATGCCCGTAATCCCAGCTCTTCGGGGGGCTGAGGCGGGTGGATTGCCTGAGGTCAGGAGTTTGAGACCAGCCTGGCCAACATGGCAAAGCCACATATCTACGAAAAATATAAAAATTAGCTGGCTGCGGTGGTGCATGCCTGTGGTCACAACTACTCAGGAAGCTGAGTAAAAATAAAATAAAATAAATTTTAAAATCATAAGCATTTGGAAAAAAGAAAAATAGAAAAAAGGAGGAAAACATACTAATGTCTCAGAACCCAGAAACAATCTTAATGAGACTTCAATATATTTTCTTCAATAGTTTTTATGCATTATTTTCTAACTTGTTAATAAAAGTTTTAAACATACAGCAAAGTTGAAAGAATATTACAATAAACATCCATACATGTCAAACCTACGCTCTACTGTTAGCATTGTACTATACAGTGTACTTACTTTATCACATATCTATGTATCCATCCATCAGTCTACCTTGGGGTTTTAAAAATTAATTTCACAATCATTGCAGACGTTAGTATGCTTCTGCCTAAGTAATTTAGCATGCATTTAATTAATTGGAATTCAGTATTTTATAGAGTTTTTTCTTTGTAAATTTTACCCTTTGGAGGTAAAACTTGCATACCAAAATGTAAATCTTAGGTACATAGTTGCTGAGTTTTGACAAATCATACATTCGTATAACCCAAACCCTATCAAAAATTATTTTCTTAACGTAACATTATGAGGTAAGCATTTTTCTTATTATACATCTTTCTTATTTTTATTTTATTTTTTAAAATTTCAACTTTTAGATATGGGGTACAGTGAAGATCTGTTACATGAGAATATTATGTGATGTCGGGGTTTGGAGTATGGATCTTGTCACCCTGGTAATGAGCATAGTACCAGATAGGTAGTTGTTTAACCCACACTCCTACCACCCTCTATGTTGTTCCCATATCTTTGTTGTTGCCGTCTTTCATGTGTACTCAGTGCTGAGCTCCCAATTATAAGTGAGAATGCGCAGCATTTGGTTTTCTGTTTCTGCATTAATTTGCTTAAGATTATGGCCTCCAGTTCCATCTGTGTTGCTGCAATGGACAGGATTTCATTCTTTGTTATGGCTATGTAGTTAGTATTCCATAGTGTTTGTATGTTACATTGTCTTTATCCAATCTACCATTGATGGGCACCTGGGTTAATTCCATGTCTGCTATTGTGAATACTGCAGCAATGAACATACAAATGCATGTGTCTTTTTGGTGGAATGCTTTATTTTCTTTGGGGTATATACCCAGTAATGGGATTGTCGGGGTGAATGGTAGCTCTGTTTTATTTGAGAAATCGCCAGACTGCTTCCACAGTGGCTGGACTAATTTAACTACATTCCCACCAGCAGTGTATGAGAGTTCCTTTTTCTCCACAGCCTCGCCGGCATCTGTTGTTTTTTTTTACTTTTTAGTAATAGTCATTCTGAGAGGTGAGAGATGGCATCTCACTGTGGTTCCGATTTGCATTTCTCTGATGATTGGTGATGCTGAGCACTTTTTCTTATCTTAGTTGGCCTCTTGTGTGTCTTCCTTTGAGGAGTATGTGTTCACGTACTTTGCCCATGTTTTAACGAGATTATTTGGTTTTTGCTTGGTGATTTAAGTTCCCTATAGATTCTGGATATTAAGCCTTTGTCAGGTACATAGTTTGCAAATATCTTCTCCCATTCTGTAGGTTGTCTGTTTGCTCTGTTGATAGTTTCTTTTGCTGTGAAAACGCTCTTTAGTTTAATTAAGTCTTACTTGTCTATTTTTGGTTTGGTCGCAGTTGCTTTTAGGGACTTAGTCAAAAATTCTTTGCCAAGGCCGTTATCGAGAAGAGTATTTCCTAGGTTGTCTTCCAGGATTTTTATAGTTTGAGGTCTTACATTTAAGTTTTTAATCTCTTTTGAGTTAATTTTTGTATATGGTGAAAGATAGGAAAGGTCTAGCTTTAATCTTCTGCATATGGCTGGCCAGTTATCCCAGCACCATTTATGGAATAGGGAGTCCTTCCTCCATTGTTTGTTTTTGTCAGCCTTGTTGAAGATCAGATAGTTTTAGGCATACAGCTTTATTTCTGAGTTTTCTATTCTGTTCCATTGGTCTATGTGTCTGTTTTTATACCAGTACCAAGCTGTTTTGGTTACTGTGGCTTTATGGTATAGTTTGAAGTCAGGTAGCATAATGCCTCTGGCTTTGCTCTTTTTGCTTAAGATTGCTTTGGCTGTTGGGGTTCTTTTTCAGTTCTATATGAATTTTAGAATTTTTTTCCTAATTCTGTGAAAAATGGCATTGGGAGTTTGATATGAATAGCATTGAACTGTAAATTACTTTGGGCAATATGGCCATTTTTATGACATTGATTCTTCCAGTCCATCAGCAGGAAATGTTTCTCCATTTATTTGTGTCATCTCTGATTTCTTTCAGCAGTGTTTTGTAGTTCTCCTTGTAGAGCTGTTTCATCTTATTGGTTAGCTGTATTCTTAGGTATTTCATTTTATTTGTGGCTATCGTGAGATTGTGTTCTTGATTTCACTCTCAGCCTTGGATATTGTGTATAGAAATGCTACTGAATTTTGTATATTGATTTTGTATCCTGAAGCTTTGCTAAAATTGTTTCAATTTGAGAGCCTTTTAGCAGAGTCTTTAGAATTTTCTAGGTACAGAATCTTACTGTCAGCAAAGAGAGATAGTTTGACTTCTTTTCCTATTTGAATGCTTTTTAATTTCTTTCTCTTGCCTGACTGCTCTGGCTAGGATTTCCTAGAAATCTTCATAGGTATAATTTTAATGACAATATCTGAGATTTTAAATTTTTTAATTTTAATTTTTTTTTTTTTTTTTTTTTTTTGAGACAGAGTTTTGCTCTGTCACCCAGGCTGGAGTGCAGTGGCACTATCTCAGCTCACTGCAACCTCTGCCTCCTGGGTTCAAGTGATTTTCTTGCCTCAGCCTCTGGAGTAGCTGGAATTACAGGTGTGTGCCATCACATCGGCTCATTTTTGTATTTTCAGTAGGGACGGGATTTCACCATGTTGGCCAGGCTGGTCTCGAACTCCTGACCTCAAGTGATCCACCTGCCTCAGCCTCCCCAAGTGCTGGGATTCCAGGCATAAGCCACTGTGCCTGGCTCAATTATTTTTCTTTTCTTTTTTTTAGAAACATGGTCTTACTCTGTTACTCAGGCTGAAGTGCATTGGCATGATCATAGCTTGAACCGTAGCCTTGAATTCCTGGGCTCAAACCATTTTCCTACCTCAACCTCCCAATACCTGGGACTACAGGCATGTGCTGCTACACCTGGCTAAATTTTTTATTCTTATTTTTTTGTAGAGATGGAGTCTCACTATGCTGCCCAGGCTTGAGTTCTTGGCCTTAAGCGATCCTCCTGCCTTGGCCTTCCAAAGTGCTAGGATTACAGATGTGAGCTACGATGCCTGGACTATGATATGTTAAATTTAACTCTTAATTTATCTTGAAATTATTTTGCTGTTTTGTTTTTTGAGTTGGAGGTTTAAATGAATCCTTTTCCAAGTAGTTAAATCTATTGTCTCATTCACATTTGTTACTTTCCCTCTTCATTGAAGTGGGATTATCTGATTATCTGATGTTTTACATTGATTCTTTCATATTATACCTTCCATGATCATGCACTGATACTCTCCAAAAGTATCAATAGCCAAAATAAACGTTAAATTCTTGCATTAAACAAAATCACTTTGTTTTAGCCTCTGTGATAAAATTGGGACCCAATGTTCAAATATCCTCTGGCTCCAAAATTCCCCTGTTATGTTTAGAACCAGATTTTTCATTTGTAAACTGCCAGACCCAGAAGTTGAGTGGGAGACCTGTTTCTTTAGAAGGCAATGTCCTGGGTCCCAGGTTTATATATGTTTCCTCTTCCTCCTCGTACACTTTTCCCCAACTTTCTCCAAATGGTCAAGGCTGCATAAGTTAGTGTAGTGTACCATTTTACACTTTCCCATAACAGAGAGTAAATTCAGGGTATAGATACTTAAAGCATTACATAGATATTAACCATTTAAAATGGTCACTATCTATATCCTGAGACATTTACCACGGGAATCTGTGAGTCTGCATTCAACTGACTTGTGTAAGCTAAATGACCTGAGCAGAGATAGGAGATGAGTAGTAGTTATGATTCAACAATTCCAGTAAAGAAATGCATTTTCTAGCAGAGTTGTCTGATAGAGGTAGGAGCAGACTGAGAAGTACTGAGGTCCCTGCTGTTATCTTTACTCAAGCAGAACTGTCTGTCAGCAGTGGCTAGGAAAGAATTCCTGCTCTGAGGAGTGGGTGGGGGAGGATTAGGGGGTCAGAATAAATTATTTCAGGTTTCTCTGGTTCAACTAATTGTTGCTTTGACTTTTGGATTAGTTATGATTTAATGCAAAATTTATTTTCTTTACAGGAAATAAAGGAAAAGAAGAAATTCTGCAAAATGTATATAGAAGACCTTGTGAAGGAAGCCACAGAAATCAACATGAAAAATGAGGCTTTGCAGAAGCTTTGGCCACAGATGTTCATTGAGCTTGTTAGGGATGCCGTCATAGAAATTCGCAATAAAAATTCCTATATGAAGCTCTGCCTACAGCAGATAACAGACCAAAAATAAAAATGGCCTTTAGTTACAGTTGATTTTGGCAGTTTTATTTTTTGAAGGGTGAAAATATGCAGGTTATACATGTTAAAACAACAGCAACGCTATCCTATAAACTAGAAAGACTAGCATTAAAGCATTATTGCCCACTGTTCTCATAGCTAAAAGTTAAGAAGGAAAGCAGGAGAAAGGAAGGAATGATTTCCTGTATGAGACGACCAAACAGCCTTTGGGAACTGGGCAGTGTTCGGAGATGGCATGCCCTGCATCCTTGGTTCTTGCTTTGATTGGTGCCCTGCTATAGCCCAAAGCATGTAGCATTTGCTGACGATTCAGCATGAGTTGCATCTACCTACTTTCAGCGGATAATTTTCAGTTATTTTCCTTTTTATTTTACATCATGATTTCAAAGCCAAAAATATGTTCTTTTTATGAGTGAAGAATAAACTTACTAATAAATTAGTAAAAATAAAGTATGTTTGCCTCATTAATCCAGTCAGAACTGTCATATTTATTGTATGTTCCTCTTTATTTAGGCAGGATCCCTGCTATTCACCTATATGGAGGATGCCACATTCTTCTAGGGATGCATTCTCAGGGAACCACAGAAGGTCCCAGGGTCACTGTGGGTGGAGAATATGAAAATGAGTCAAAACTGAGATAGGAAAAAAATGTTTTGTCTTAAGAGTCCTGGAGTGACTATAAAATGCTGTTACAGATCAGTAAGTCTGCATCTCTGAAAGGCGTTTTCTTCCATTGTTAGCTCTCGGGGGCTCCGTTTATAGACATGCATGTGTGCCTGTGCCTCAGAAGTATTAGGGTTGCATGGGTGAAAGGTTCTAATTTTTAAAATTTCATTTGAAGATCCAATTCGTGCTGGTGAGGAGGGTAGTGGTTCTGAGAAAGACCCACAGCCTTAAGATCTCTTCATTTCTCTTCTCGCAGAAGGAGTGCTTAACTTGAATAGGTTAGCATTTTTCTGATCATAGCCTTTTAAGGCACACTGTCCTGGTTTGGCATCTTGGCACTTAGGCCATCAGGTTCCTAGCATGTAACCTCAGTTTCCTCCTAATAGCACACACTTCATAAGACAGTCATGAGGATCAAATGAAATAATGCATAAGAGAATTTCTCCTCATGCCTGGCACACAGCAAATGCCCAATGTATTGAGCTTTAATTCATACTCTTAGATGTAGGTTGAATGATAGTGTTGGTGCCCTAAGACAGAGGAGCTATTAGCATTGCTTTCTGATCCTTCAGACTCTCCAACTGAAACATGGATCATTTCTCATCTGGCTAGTCAACAGTGATCTCTCCTGGGGCTTATATGTTGTTTGGTGTAGAGAGGAGATCCCAGCTTGAAGGTGATGTTAAGAGGAGAACCAAGAGTATATTTTGTGTGGATTTCTAGCAGATTGGAAAGAGTAGAACTTGTAACCCCTCAGGAGTCTGGGTAACTGTTCCTACTCTAGGCTTTGAGGATGAATGGCCTGGCTATTTAATAATCTGTCCAGCTTCCTGCATGTCTCTCCTTCCCTAACCCTCCCATCCCTACTGCTAAAGAGACTTGACACTCACATGCTTTCTCAGCCCAGTCGTCCTGGAAATTTTAGGAACACTAAGCACTCAATGAAATGGCAGCAAGCCATTCTGGCCACTGCTGGCTCTACCCAGACCTTCTGCTTCAGGCCTGGAAATAACATCTCTCTCTCTTGTTCCTGAAACCAAGCCTTTTTATTCCTCAGCTTTGGTCTCTCCTTCCTTCCTACCAGAGTTCCCTTTTGTCTGCTCCCACTATCCCATGCCGATTTCTACTTCTTGAATCCTTATTTTGTCTGGTCTCAAACTTCCAATGGCTGTAACCTCCCATCTAGCTTTACCCTCCAAACTCATTTTGCTTTCTGAGTTCCTCGGTGAAGATAATCCCCAGATAAAAGGACAAAGACACCTGGATCTGCTGGGTCTGGGATCAGTGAGGGTCCTGTGTTGTGAGTGAGTGGTGATCTAGGGAATACATTGCCCTTTCTACTTGGAATTTTCCAGGGTTTTCAGGGAAGGGGAAAAGCTGCAAATCCCGCAGTCTGAGACTCTCTGGGCTAGTGTGTGCTGAAGAATTGCTTTTTTCCAAAAGGGATCTCACACAGAAACAGTATTTTGCATTTGCCTCAAAAGTAGAAACATTCAATACCTCGATTTAGGGAGATACTGTACCCCATGTTCTGGTACAGCAGCTGGATGGAGAAGTGTGCTGGTAGACCTGGGGATGGTTACCAAGTGTGCAGGGTGACCTGAGGCTGCTTAACTATGCTGCTGAGTCGGACGATGGTTCTGGTATCAGCTCCTCACTTCCTGAGCTTCATTCCACTGAAGACCTGGCACATAAGATAGTAAGTACAGCCCTACCATCCTCCTGATCTCTTCCTTATCAGGCAGGGAATGCACTGGGATTCATATTCTCTTCAATGAGTAATCATCATAACAACAAAGATTCATTGAGCAATGTCTTGCACTATTATAAACTCTTCATATGCATTCTCATTTAATCTCCTAACACTGCTATATATATGTATATACAATAACAATCCCATTTGAACACTAGAAAACTGAGGCATAGAAAGGATGTAAAAAACTCCCCTAAGGGTATTACAGCCAATAAATAGTAGACTGGACCCACATTCACTGTTAGTCTTAAAGGTCTAGCATCTGGGAAGAATTCTGATGCCCATGGTCGTTCCTGATCCACTTTCATGTTTTGTCATTATACTGAGGACTAGCAAATAAAAGATAAGAATTACTCAACTTTATCTACATGCAAAGCATATTGCAGACCATTATGTGCAGTATAAATACTCACATAAAATGTTACACATTTTAGGTGTGATACATAAGTACACATGTACAATATTAGGTATTATTTAAGGATATACATATTAAAATATAAAATATTGGTGTCTAGATTCATTCCAATAATGTGTAGAGAATCAACTTCCAGAGGGACAGTAAATTAGGGGGACCAGTTGGGAAGGTGCTGCACTATTCTAGGCAAGAGATAATTGTGACTTGGATCAAGGTGATTAGCGACACAGGTGTCAGAAAGTGGTTGGATCTTGGGTATATTTTAAAGATAAAGCCAACAAGATTTACTCACAATTGAATATGGACTATAGAAACAGTAGTCAATGACGGTCCCAAGGTTTTTGGCTTGGACAACCAAAAAGATGGAGTTCCCATCAACTGAGATGAGAGCAATCTGTGAATGAGCATCTGTTGGGAGGAAGGATCAGGAATTCCATCTTATGGAATACACAGTGTATCTCAACATATACAATGTATACAGGCTATACCATGCATCTCAGCATATGTTGAGATGGTTGTTAAATATCCAAGTGCAGGTGTTAAGTAGGTGTGAATATAAGAGTTGGGAGTTAAGATGTGTATATTGAACTAGAATTACAGAATTTGGAGTCATTGGCATATAGCAGTACTTGTTTATGTCATCTTTTATATTTAAGAGAATAAACCTATCGTTTGTTAAATAAGATTATCATAGTGTACTTGCCTTTTTATTTTGATTTTTATCTAAGTTTTTCCTTCTTTGTGGTCATATCTCCTATTGTTTTTCTTTGTAATTTCATTCATTGTAATTATGCTTATTCAGAACGCAGCTAATGCTTCACCTATATTTTCTCTTGTTTTGATTTCATGATTTTCTATCATTAACAGTTTGTTGACAGACCAAAACAAATCCTATTCATCTCTTTGGGCAAACCTGGGCTTCCTTCTTCTGTCTCACAGTTGGTTTTATAAATTTTAAAAGGAAAGAAAAGAGAAAGAGGGAGGACAGAGAATCGGGTTAGTTAGCAGCAAGACAAAATGCAAAATCGAGTAAAGAGAGACTACTCAGGAAAATATTTTATTTAAATCATGAAGAACAAAGGTTAGTTTTTGTAACCTGCTTTTTTGGGTCAGTTGGAGATGGAGTGGTTACTGTTGCCAGGAACTTCAGAGCCAAGTTTGAAATTTAATCACAGCAACTGTGTTAACCAGTATTGATGGAATATTTATTATATTTGATCCTGATTTTCTACTTATGTTTATGTTTTCATGGTTCATTTTATGTGTCTTGTTGCATAATACCTCAAATCCTTTATGGAAATAGTTAAAGTATACACAAAGCTCCAAAGAATAAATTACTCCTAAAGAATAAATATCCTCCTTGGGGAGTGGAATAGTTTGCAGTTTCTCTTCAGGAGACAATGAAACTATTTATTAATCCCTTATGCAAGTCCCTCTAAGCCTGAGCCCTCAGAGAGTCGACTTCTTCTCTTTGTTTATCTTGAAATATTTCAGCGTGCAGAAATGCCTGTAGAATCACATCTCAAATAAATGCCCTGTGTCCACCACCAAGCGTAACAGATCTTAATATTTTGCTTCAGATTTAAAAAATTTGCTTCAGATTTAAAAAATCAAACGTTACAAGTAGACATGGAACCCCTATGTACCTTCTTTCCCTCCCTCCAGGTAACCACTATTCTGAACTTTATGCTTATTCATTTCTGTTTTGTTTTGTTTTGTTTGAGATGGAGTCTTTCTCTGTCACGTGGCTGGAGTGCAGTGGCACCATCTTGGCTCAGTGAAACCTCTGCCTCCCAGATTCAAGTGATTCTTCTGCCTCAGCCTCCTGAGTAGCTGGTATTATAGGCACCTGCCACAATGCCCGGCTACCTTTTGTATTTTTAGTAGAGACGGGGTTTCACCATGTTGGCTAGAATGATCTCAATCTCCTGACCCCATGATCTGCCTGCTTCGGCCTCCCACAGTGCTGGGATTTCAGGTGTGAGCCACCCCACCTGGCCTCATTCATATTTTCTGGCTGTTCCTACTTATGCATAAATGCATAGGGAATTTATCTAATTTTTTACATTTTCTAATTTTTTATAAATGGTACCATGCAATATGTATTTTTCTACATTGTTTCACTCTATTATGTTCCTGAGGATTATCCTCATTGATGGGAGTTGTTCCACTTCTTTCATTTTTGCTGCTATTTGATATTTGGTTGTACAGCCAATGTGTGATTTATGTATCTCTTTTCCTGTTGGTGGGCATTGGGAGATTTCTAGTTTAAAACTAGTACAGACAATGCTGCATTGAATATGCCTTTTCCTATGTGTGCTCTAGGAGTAGACAATTAGCTGTGGAATTGCTGAGCCATATGGACACATTCAACTGCATTAAATATTGTCATATTGCTTTCTAAAGTGATTCGTATCAGTTTACACTCCCATAAGGAGAGAATACAACTTCCAGTTGTTCTGTATATTCACTAACAATTAGGACTTTCATTTTTTTACAATCTAATGTGTTAGGGAGCCAGTGTGTGCTTGAAAGTGGCTTTTGTATAGAGAAGAAATCATTCAAGGATTTTTTTAAAAAAGTTTACATATGGTGAAATGCATGTAA